GACTATACCAAAATTGGCAACAAATTTAATATGAACGTTTAAAGCGTTATTTAACTGTGTTAATGATACTGGGTTTCATAAAGGGAACCATTCTGAAATGTTCTAAATTAGACTCGAATAATTTTTGCATGTCTTATATTTTGATTAATAATAATTATTATTTTGAATCAAAAATATCATTATTTTGTTTATGATAAAGTAAATTGTTTTATAAAAAAATTGAAATTTGGGTCGAAGGGTAATGCAAAACAAAAAATTAACTTGGTGTGACATTGGAGATCAATTAAAATAATTTATTCATGCTCATAAGCTATTTACTGTAGAGGTGGAAACTCTCCCAAGCAAGTACCCTATAAGTTGGCTGCAGAGATATTAGTGTTGCTTTTCTCTAAGAACTTATTTGTACGGTACCGGACAGCAAGAAACATCCAAGGGCGCCAAATTTGATACAGGTAACACAACTTATGATTGGCTAATTTTTATGCAGATCAATCACGTGCAACATAAATGATTGGACAATAAATTTTTTGACTAAATTAAAGAATTAACAACGGGTGCTCTCAAGCATCTCTCTCAGTGTAATTAGTTAACTATAGAGATCGTCACAAGTACTACGATCAACTGAAGTAAACTTTACGGTAATTTGTCGAAAATTCATGTTGCGAAACACGGATATTAAAGTTTAGCCAATCAGTACAACTCTGATAAAAAAAAGATGGTCTTTTTGACCATCTTTTTTTTTCATCGCGATAATGAACTCGCTTGACCGAATAATTTATTTTCCACTAATTAAAAATTGAACTCAGACCTATTGATTTAGATGCTTGAGTGCACCCTTAGTATACCCTTAATAAACTGATCATGTTCTATTATTACGTTGTCACATTTACGTTACGGAACTTCGAATCCAAATACATATCGATCTGAGTAATTACTTTAAACCAGGTTAAAATGTTATTACGTCAATATATATAAATATAAAATTGGTCCGCATTCAAAATCTTGTAGATGGATTCAGATTTTACAATACTGCAATAACCAACTTAGATTAATGGATAGGAAATAGGCCTTTGTACTACCGGTAGTACATTTATTAAAGTGTTTAGAAAATTCAAAAAAAATTTTTCAAAAAAATTTTTATATACAAAAATCTGATAAATGTTCTAGTTTAATTAAAATTTATTTATTTTAATGTTTATAATAAAATTATTGAGAAAACAATTTATAAAAAATTTTTTTTAAAAAATTTTTTAGTATACAGTACTATTGGTAATATACTCATTTAGAATTTTGCTAAAGATCACTGCAGGTGATTACAGTATTACCACTCTATTATATATTTAATTAAAGAATTAAAATTTAGAGTTAGGTTAGGTAGAGTTAGAATAAGGAAGGTGAAATTATATATAAAAATTTGTATTGAAAATTTTTAATTAGTGCATGAAGATTTATTAATGTAGTAAAATATCTTGTTATTGCAAAATTTTAATTATGTATATAAAAAATTTTGTTTTTTTTTATAAAATAATCCACTTGTTACTAGTAGTAACAGTACCAGATTTTATTTAAAGCTATATTTAGGGTCAAAAATATACACATGCTAACAAAATTATTTGGGGTCTAAAACTCAAAATTAAATTTGAAGATAAAATTGTTTTTGACCTATTTTACTTAAAATATGAAATTTTTTAACATTTTTTTTGAAAAAATGAAATTATAAGAAACATAACTACTTAAATTAGATTTGCTTTTGCATATAAAAAATTCTAATTTGCTCTAATAGAGATGAAATAAGGTTTTTTTTAAAACCTATTTTGGTAAAATATATAGTCAGAAAGGGTTATAATATATAGTAAAATTATACAAGAAATATTTTTGTTACGGCACAAAGGTTGGTTTTATAGACATAATTTTTAGTTAATTTGATTTAAAATTTTTGAGGTGTTGAATTATACAATCTAATTGGCCTGGGTTTGTTATTACTAGTGACAAATAGATTTTTTTTTTTATAATCAAAAAATTATTATTATTTATATTATAATAATTATTACTTATATTATAAGTTTAATTTAAAATTTAATACAAATTATTACTATTTATAGTAAGCTATTCAAATTTAACTCAAATTTAAAAAAAAATTATTGATTAAATTATTTTAAATTTTTAATTAAAGCTATAAATCTTTATATTTAAATTTTGATTTAAAGTTTTTTTTAGGTTATAACTAATTTTTACCCATAGTAATATCACCTGCACAATATTATATAATTTATTTATTTATATTGAAAAATTGAAATACTGGTTATATATAATTTATAATTTATATATTTTCTATTTAAACAATTATGATATGTAATTTAAAATTCATATAATTTATTTCTAAATTTTCTTGCACTACTTGCTACTAATTGATGTTTGGACAATATGAAACATAATAACTAACTTGTTTATATTTCTTTTTTACCTTTTTTCAAATATTGTAATGTGTTAACTTGACTATTACTTGATATTCCTATTATATTCTGGATGTTTTGCTATATTTTTTAGCTATCTTCATTAGCTAGAACTTTACATTATACTTTTTTCAAAAGCTAACTATTGGATTTATACTTATTTGGTTATTAATCTTTATATAGAATGTGCAATAGATCTTCAATAAGCATTATTTCGTGTGCTGAATAGATCATCCTTGGCTTCTTCAATGAAATTCTTTAAGCAATTAACGAATTATTTTACTTTGTTAATCTGAATTGCAAGATTAAGAGCTTTTTATATATAACCTATACCAAGTCTGTACTTTTATTTAGGTCTTTGTAGTTGCTTAATGTTAGATGTTTGTTTAAATCTTGTCAAGTGTTGAAACAATAAGGGTTCAGACAAAGTGAGTTCTGATTTGTTTCTTGTGAAATAATATACAGGTATATTTTCTTAAGTACTTTTATATTTGCTGTTATTATATCATCTCTGAGAAATTAAGAAAATATGAAACTATACTTTAAATGAATAAGAGATTACTTGAAAAAAGTGCTGATACACTATTCCTCTGTTAATTAATATAAAGCAAGTACACAAATATGAGCTGTTATTAAAAAGGATTATATGCTGTGGTTTTGAGTTTTGTCCACTATGTCTAACTATTTTCCACACTTTTTAAACTAAATCATGAGGTATATTTTCTAGTAATAATCAAAAAAGGGATTGTGGTTGATTATAATCATCTTCTCTTGCAATATCCCTTTGATAAGAATCGTCTGTCATCTAAACTATAAGCAAGTGTTAATATATTAGAAATTGCTTTTTTTGATATACATAATATTCTCTTAGTTAACTTTTAAATCTTACTTTTAGAAATAATTCAGTTAGAGATTTTTTAAATTTGAAGATCATTTCTAAAATAGTTTATAATTCTGCATAAGCATGTGATTTGCGCTTAATAATTGTGATTGGCGCTTAGTAATCTTTTTTTAAAACAAAGTCATGACCTTTCATTGATCCGGCACTACAATAAAGGTTAAGTCTAACTATTGAAATATATATTTTTAACATATACTTTCAGAATTTGTAAGGATCTCAAAGTCTTAACAAATCAATTTTCTTAAATTAAAGCTTAAAATTATATAAGTTTATAGATTATAACTAAATGAGTTTAAAAGTAGAAGCCAAAATGCTGCCCTATATTTTTATTATTTTTGCTACAAAGTGTCTAAAAAGTGGTTTACTAAATCATATAGAAAAATATAAAACCAAGAAAAACAATAGTGGTAAAATATATCAGCTAATGCAGCAACAAAAAAACTAATAGAATTGGCTAAGTATTTTCCTAAATTTACTAATTTGTTGAATCACTTAAAAATTACTTCTTATATAAATGGCATTATAATCAGATCATTGCCAAGTCTTCTTTTATTAAACAACTAATAAATAAATCAGGTTTTTTAAATTTAAATAAGAATGAAAGAAAAAGATTAAAACACTCTAACAATAATAAAAAAAATCTTGCTAATTTTGGCATATAAGTTAAACCAACTTCTGTCAACTTTGGAGTTCAAGTATCTTTGTCAACTATTAACGTTGGAGTTCAAGTATCTTTGCTGATTGTTAACTTTGGAGTTTAAGTATCTTTGCCAATTGTTAACTTTGAAGTTTAAGTATCTTTGCTAGATCTAAAATATAAAATTCTTTTAGAATAAATTAGTAAGCTAGAAAGTGCTAATACACAATTGTTAGCTAAAAATAAAGCATTAAAAAAAAGTTATGCAAAAGATTTATTAATTAACAAGATTGCATTAAATCTATTATAAAAATTGCTAAAAAAGAATAAAATAATTTGTATGAAGATATAGAAGGTTTGGTGAAAAATTCAGGATGATTTTCTTTGAATAGTCTTTTGGAATATTCTCTTTCTAAATAGCTTACAGAATGAAATCCAGTTATTGTGAAGTTTATAGAAACTCTTACTTATAATGAAAATAAACAACAATATAAAAAAAAGCTTTTTAAATATACTATAGCTGTTAATGCTATATATGGATTAAGGTACTTGAAATATGGTTTTACAATTAATTTAACTGTTTCAACAATTAAGTATTTATTAGCAAGATCAAACTGATTGTAGATATTGATAATCATATTATTAGTTCTGGTAGCTATTCAAAATTTACTAACTAGCTAGAAAATTTGGTTATAGAATAGTCACCACTTCTCAATGATCTTCTATTTTTAGCTTTTACAATGAGCAAAAAGGCCAAAAAAATTATTTAGATCATAGATATAATATGGTTATATTCTATACTATTATGAGTTTTGTTGCTTTTAATTATAATTAAAGCAACAAAATTCAAACTATGAATCTCTGACTATGTTTTAAACCTACCCAAAAACAATATGAAGAATTATTTTACTTAATATTGGATATGAAAAATGCAATTCATAAAGAACTTACTAACTATCTTTCAGTTATTTTAAAAGAACTTCTTTTTGAGAAAAATCAGAAAACAAATATGGTTAATGACTTAATAAACTCTCAAAGTCAGATAGAAAATATGAAAAAATGCTGTTTTTGTCAAGCCTCTAATATTGATAATAAGAAGCAGATTTGTCCTAATTGTCAAAATAAATCATCTATAATTAGTGAAATGAATCAACAACTTAATAAATAATCTAATATTAAAAATACTACTGACAAGTCTCTAATTGTTTGTCTTTATAGATTTAAAGAATTAGATATGCAAAAATTAAGTCTAAAGATTCATGAATCACAAATGTTTATTCCTAATCTGATAGGAATTAATTCTAATTTGATCACTAATGTTTGAAAAGTTCTTAAGCATATCAAAAAAGCATCTAGAGTTAAAGATAATAGGTATAAATAGATTACAATTACATGTGATAGAGTGCTATATTATCATATACTGAAAATAAAAAAGAATTTTCTTTGATTTATATTAATTTCAGATGCTCTCTATGAAGAAATGAATATGTTAAAGACATTCATTAAGTTAAATTAAGATATTAATATGAGAGATTTTGCTCATTGTTAAGGGTATCTAATTGAAATTCAACTTCAGTTCTTCAAAAAATATTCAGATCATCACAAATTGTAAAATTCAGTATATAATATATATAGACATACAATAGCATCTGAATTGATATAGCTATATATTATATATAAAGAAAATCTTTCGGACAACGATTATTTAAAATGAGTCTAAAAACAAACAAATCCTATATATAAATTAAAGTATAAACAAATCTTTCTTTATTTGCAAGTAATTATTAACTTTCATACTAGAGTTTATTTTAATAGGTCTTCATTAAGACTTGTGGCTAGAAGAACATTTGTATCTATTTGGTCTGCTCAATAGCATCCAATTTATTAATTAATCAAAATTTATAATAAAAAACAAATGTTACAATTGAAGCCTGAAGTTTTCAACTTAATCCAAAAGAGAATCGTAACCTCATAATTCAAACTTTTGAATCAATATCAAGGCCATAATGCAACACTTGAAAAAATTAATAGAGTGCTCAAATTATTAATTTCTCCAATACTTTTACAATAGCATTAGGAAATTGCAGCATATAATTATACTAAATTTTTAAAATTGCATACTAATTTTTTAAGCTAATAAGATATTTTGAAAGTGAAACCTAAGAACCTTGTACACATTCTGGTTTTACTGATGAATCAAATCATTATTGGGCTTGAATAAAAAAAACACAATTTGTAAATCCAAAAGCTAATAATCATGTTTTTCAAGATATAAATAGTGAACAAAAAATAAGTAAAGAAATGAAATGATTTAGTGAAATTGCGAATATAAAAAGAATCGAATTTATTAAAGCCAAACTAATTAACAAAATGTCATTGAAGATTTGGCATCCAATATTTATAATATATAAAGAAGCAGGTTTTTAAAAAACTGAAAGCTCTTTAACAAAATCACAACTTTTATCTATTATTAACTCTTTAATTTCTTCTTTAGATGATTCTGATTATTCATGTTTCTGAGATTTATTAAGTAAATTTCGTAATAATTTAATAAATATTTTTTGAAAGATTAAAAGTATAGTGGCTAAAAATAGTATTAATATTAATAGTAAAGAATAAAAAATAAATAGTATGCTTTTGGTTAATATTTGTAATTATAATTATATTTATAATAAAATTTAATTAATTGGTGATTCACCAGTCAACCAAAGAAGATCAGCAAATTTTTATAAGTAAATTTTACTATTGTGCTAAATGTGGAGTGCACCAATCTAAAACTTTTTTCTTACTAAGTAAATCACTCTTGAGCTTATAACAAAAGTTGTAGAGCTTATTAAAATGCATCTAATAGTAGTAAAAATATTAAAATTGGCCTAGTAGTTCTTGAGAAATATTATGCTGACATATAAATCTGTAAAAAGCTTGTAAAAATTATATACTACTAAACAAACTAGTTTCTATTCTAAATTTATTTAAATAGTATATAAAAGTAAAAAAACCAGTAACAAAAACTTCTTTGATTAAAGATGTAGAGAGGTTGGTATTTAATGATAATTTTGGAGTATTGTTTGATTAAAATTGTTGTATTCGAGACATGTACCTTAATGTAATTGTTGTTCTTTTATACTAATTTAAAAAGTAAACAATGCTAACTGTTTTGATGTATATAATGTTGATCTTTTAGAAAGAGTAAGCTAAAATATTTACTTTTTACAAAAATTTTTACAAAAATAAATAGTAGACCAATAAAAGTATATAAAATTCTTTTTGTAAAAGTTATAGTTGTATAGTTCAGTTTCTTTGCTTCTATTTGATATTCTTGTATAAAGACTTTAATGTTGGTCTCAAAATATCTTTTTGGGTTGAATGCCAAAAGTATGAAAGAGTTTACTTAAAGTTTAATCTAAAGCATAGCCTACTTGCTGTTATATATCTACTTTTTAGTGTTTTACATATTAAAGCTTTATTAGTAGCAAGTTTGTTTATATAAAACAAGAGTATTGTTGTATTTGTTTGTTGTTTTTCTATAGCTTTTTACTGTAGTTTAGTTTATTTTGTTATTAACCAAAGAATTATTAAAAAGAGTTATAAATACATTTAAATAAATTATATATTATTGTTTTATATAAGATATATTTTTAATAGTATTATTAAAATTTAATTTTTAAGCCTATTACAAATTGAAACCAATAATTTAGAATCTATCTATAATCTATAATTAATCCTTTTATTTCTAAAGTATATTCAAATAATTTAATTATTTATATATATATATATATTTTTTAATATTTTTTTTATAATTTAGCAGTTTTGCTACTTTTTATTTGAGATTAAACTAAACTAAGAAATTTATATTTCCTAATAATAGCTATACTAATCTAACTAAAAAGCAACTTACCCATATTTGTACCAGATATAACTTGTCTTAGTGGACTTAAAGCCTTTCTCTAAGCCTTTAACTTACTAGATATTATCTTTTGGTCGTAGGCTAGTGCTACACACTGTATCAAAATTAACTTTCTTTTTTACAAAATGAAATACTAATACAAATGCAAAAGATATAACAAAAAGTGAGAAAATACTATAGCATCAAGTTCTGGTCTACCTAAACCAATAAAACCAAATAAAACAAAAATGAAAAGAATGAAAAAACAAAAGAAAAGAAAATAAAGATAGCACTATTAAACTTGTACAAGATTATAAAAATTATATAATATTACAAATAAACTAGTCTGAACTCTATGCTAGTTATTTATATCTATATTCAGAATATAAAAATATTAAAAACTATCTGGTCTTGAAGTAAAGATCCAAGTTCAAAATTTCTATTGCAGTCCTAGCAAATTTTTGCAATATTTCAATCTGTGACTTTCTAGACAAAGTTAATGAGCTGTTGTCTGTTAATCCACATCAGTGAATCAGGTGCTTTTAGTATAATCACAGTAATCTCTTAAAAAAAAAGTATCTGATACTATTAATCTAAAGTATATATACATAAGGTAAAAAGTGATAATTTGGTGAAGTTAAGGTAACTAATATAAAAACTTTTTTATTTTAATATTAAAAATTTTTTTATTTTTTGTATTAAACTTTATATATGATTTAGAATTATTTTATAAAACAATTAGTAATATAATATCTTGTTTTAAAGTGATATTAAATAGATTATAAATTGTATCAAAAAGCTTAAATTTTAGAGAGGTAGGGGTAATTTGGCGAATTGGTGATATCTCATGTGATTTAGTGGTTAGAATTGAATAATTTTTATACCATTCGATTTGTCTCGATGAGATGAATCGAATAATATAAAGTTTATCCAATTCTGATCACTGGATCACAAAATATCATCAATTATATATTGCACAAAAATGATCTTTGAAGGTTATTTGACGAAGTATAAACATGACAAAGAATCAAAAATATCTTGTGACTCAGTGATCAGAACTAAGCGAGCTTAGTACCATTTGATTCGTCTCATTGAGACGAATTGAATAGTATAAAAATATTCAATTCTGATTATTAAATAATGAGATATCAAAATTCGCCAAATTACCTCTCTTCGCCAAATTACTCCTTTCTATCTTATATATATATTTCTTTTTGTAGCAGCAATCATTGTTGTTGATCTTTGATAGAGTACATTGTATTTCTCACTTTTTAGTGAAATTTTATAAAGGCCAAGGGTTGGATATAGAAAAGGGTTTTGGTTTGCAAATAGCCTCAAACTTCAGTAAAGAAAGTATTAAAACTCATTTGTTGTTCTCTTAGACCAACTAACTTTAACTTTGTTAGCAGAAGCAGTGCTTCTATTAAAATTTTCTGCACAAGAGCACTATCTTCTTGCTAGTTATCTTGTATAAGAATGCTTTTAACTTGCATGTTAAATATATAAAGGAGTTCAGGAGAAATATAAAAGTCTTTGATCTTTATAAAAACTGTTATTCATAGTTGTCTTTTCTATTTTTTTCTAACAAGTTTCTGTTTTTCACTAGCTATAAGTTTGGTACAAGTGATTGTTAAAGAGAGATTTTTATATATTTTTTTAATATTAAAATGACTTTTTGATCATATTCCTTTTATTTGATTATAGTTTTAACTTTTACAGTATAGTATATACTATACTATATATATATTTAGAGAATACAATTAGCTATATATACAACTTTTAATTGTCTATTTAAGTAGTTCACTTATTACTAAATCCTATACTAGCTACTATATCTATAATTTAATTAAGAGTAGAGTGTACAAATTTTCAATTTCATATAAAATAGATTATATATCAATTTTTTGTATATGATATCATATGATTTATATATAAATATCATATGATTCAACTAATCAAAACTAGCAATTTTTGTGTAATTTCAGAAAAACTTATAGCGACCCCAAAAACTTTGATTATATATAAAGTTCATTTTTTTTAAAACAATATATATTCCACAACTTCACTATTATAAACAAACTAGTTGGGTGTGGTGACTTAGTGTAGTTGGTAAGTTGTCGCACTCCCAAGCGGCAGGACAAGAGTTTGAATCCCACCGACGACGAAATTTGAATTTGCAGAAATGCGTTACGATAAAACTGTATGACATGTCGATCGGGTCAGCACCTGTAACCTTGGTCTCACCAACTCGTATTGGG